AAGTGATCTAGATTGAACCAAATTGGGCAAATGATCCTCACACATCATGGTTTCACACAACCTATCTAAAATTTGAGCTCACCTTTTGTGGTCATCGATGACAAAGGGGGAGAAAAATTCACAAAGGTAGTAAGAGATAGGGGAAAACAAATGAAATGACATTGTAAGGGGATCAATTAAAATTTGAAGCACACAAGTAGGGGGAGTAAGCTCATAAACTTGTATGTTACATTTGTATGTGCATTACATATGTTTTCTTTCATGACACAAGTTCTTAAATTCCCTATCCATGCTTGTGTGATGTATGCTAGATTATAGAAAATGAATGATGAAATGAAAACTAGCATGTATAGGATGATAGTTAGATGTGCCTTGCATGTTTTACAAGTGGTACTGGAGCCTTGCTTATAATGTTGATCTCATGAGGTATCTAGTGTTCATGTTTTGCAAGAGCTATCTAACTAACCATGGTGCTAAGGATGGTGTTCAAATGGCAACTCCGATTGGTATCACGCTTCAAAGGTCCATTCTTTACACCTTATCATCTTCTGGTAGCTATTACTCTCCCAAACTTCCAATCCATGCATATGTGCAAGCTTTCAAATCCAAACTCTTAGCACATATGTAGGGGGAGCTAATACTACCAATTTGGGTTGATGAAACTTGTCCATAATCTTTACGCATGGTAATATGCTTGAGCAAGCAATATGAATCCAAAAAGATTTCATTGAATATCTTTGTAAATAGGTTGTCATCAATTACCAAAAAGGGGGAGTTTGAAAGCCCTAGTTTGGTTTTGGATAATTGATGAAACCTAGCACTAACCTTTGTCATGAGTGGTGATATGAGCTAGGTTGGTGCAATCCAAGTGATTGAGCAAGATGAGGTCCATGGAGATGGAGATGGACATGTGTTGATAATGATCAAGCTCAAACTTGGAAAAGAAGAAAGAGAAAAACAAAAACAAAGAAGATCAAGGCAAAGGTATTTGATAGGTTTATCAAGTGTCACTAGGTGACATGATTCTTGCATAAGTATTTAGGAACCTAGTGTGCTAACTTTGACCCTTGTAAAATGCTTTGAAAAATGCTAACACATGTGCACACAAGTTCTACACTTTGTGGTTAGCAAGTTGGAAGCAAGGGCAAAGCAGTTGAGGAGATAGAAAAAGAAAAGATGGCGTCGGCCCCTGATCGAACGCTGCACCGGACACGGGACTTGACTCCAGGCCATGTTCGGTCACTCGCAGCAGAGGGGGCACGGCTCTTATTCATGATCAAACGTTGGTGAGTTCACGCGATCGGACACGCAGGGCGCGTGTCAGGTCGAGCCTGACATATGCTGACGTAGATGAGCTGTTCTTGCGAAGCATTGACCGGACTCACCGGCGTGTCCGGTCACCTAGGACCTGATGCGTCCGGTCACCTAGGACCTGACGTGTCTGGTCAAGAAAAATCATCCCTGGTACCTTACTGGAGTCGATCTGACACTGGCGAGTTCTTGAGTCCAGTCGATCAAGCGACGTGTACGATCATCGGTGTGTGCGGGCGTGCGAAGGCGGCAACGGTCAAATTTAAATGAAGATGACAAGGCGCGTTGTGGCTGGCTGGTAGGTGTGACCAGACGCATCTGACTAGACTCTAGGGTGAGTCTGGTCACAGCGTCCGGTCACCCTCGAGCTGTGTAACGGTTGGATTTTCTTGGGGGTCTTTAAATAGACCATGGCCGGCCCTTGGCTCACTCTCTTGGCATTTTGACAAACTTGACATCCTTGTGAGCCTAAGCAAATACCTCCCACTCATCTCCATCATTGATTCATCATCATAGGGAGATTGGGAGTGATTCCAAGTGCATTTGCTTGAGTGATTGCATCTAGTGGCACTTGGGAATCGTTGTGGCTGCGGATTTCTTGTTACTCTTAGTGGTTGCCGCCACCTAGACTGCTTGGAGCAGCGGAGGAGCTTCGGCACGTGTTGGTGATTGTTCGTGGCCGGCTCCGGTGATTGTGAGGGTTCTTGTACCTTTCCCGGTGGAGAGCCGAAAGGTAACTCTAGTGGATTGCTCGTGTCATTGAGTTACCTCACTTGTGGGTAGGTTCTTGCGGTGTCCAATTGTGTGGATGAGGTTCGTGCAACACCTCTTAGCCACCAAACCACCAAGTGTTGGTCGACACAATGGGGACTAGCGTGCCGGCAAGCACGTGAACCTCGGAAGAAAAATCGGTTGTCTCTTGCCCTTTTGATATTCTCCCGATGATTGAATTGATGTTCATCTTGTGATTGCTTCACTCCTCTAAGCAGCGGTATAATTACCCTACTCACTCATTTACATTCCTACAAATTAGTTGTCAAGCTCTTTAGTATAGTTAGTCTTTGAGAGCTTGTTAGTTTGGTTAGTGTGGCTCTTTAGTTAGTCTTTATGTCGGTGTTTTGTAAATCAGACTAGTAAATTTATACGATTGTCACGCTGCTCTAGGAAGACGATGGTAGCATCCAATAGACACGAGAATTTATACTGGTTCAGGCCAAAGCCCTACGCCTAGTCTCAGAGAAGATCAAGTGCGTGTTCCTCGCTTGAATGCTCTAAAGTTCTTACAATGGGGGTACAAGAATGGTGAAAGAGGTAGAAGAACCTATGCTAGACGAGAGGCAGCCCGAAGACAAGCTTCAAGAGCCCTACTGCTATGGTGAATGGATGGAATGGTAGAGGATAAAAAATGAGACCGTGTCCCCAGATGGGTGCCCTGGCTGCCCTTATATAGAGTTTAGGGCCAGGGCTCGTTACAAAGAGGAGGTTCCTCCGACCGAAGGGTCGAGAGCCTGAGGGAGGTCCTAGCTAACTTGGCTTGCACGCTACGCCATCTTCTGATGCTCGCCTAGGCGTGGCTATCGTCATGGTCTTGTGGCTACGTCGCGGCAGGCTACTGTGCTGGTCGTGGTAGCACTGTAGCCATGGTGATAGTTCATCAGTCGTCCTATGCAACGCGGTGTCTGTCATGGTCTTCGTCGTCGTCTCTAGGTTCCCCGGGGCATCATACCCGTAGTAGGTAGCCACCCTGGGTTGTTGTTCGCCTGGTCGCTTCGTGGGGCTGAGGGCCACGACCCCGATCGTCGGGGTCAGGGCTTTCAACCGGTCAGGATGGCCTCCTTGCTGAGACCCTTGCCATGGCTCCCATCCCATATTGGGTAGGACCGTATACTTGCCTGGTTGGGCTGTATCCGCCCGTGGTCATCGTACCTATCATTTTCGCCCTAAGGCGGTATTGTCTTGTCCGTGCAGCGTGGCACGGGGTTGGCATCTGACCGGGCTGAGGTGACTATTGTCACCTCGGTCCTTGCGGGGTCAGTGCGTCGTGCTTGCTCCTGTCAGGGCAGGCTCTCTCGCAAGGCGCGACCTCTTTCCATCTCTTCCGGTGGTCGTGACGAGGAGAGGTCACATGCCTTGCGAGCGTGGTGAGACTAAGGCGGGTGGAAGGGGTCATGGATAACCCTGACCCTAGCGCCTGGCCTGACCTGTTTGGCTTTCGCCGGGCCTCGGTCGTTTGGGCCTTTGTCTGTTGTTGCGTTGCGAGCCATGCGGCCCGCTATCTAATCGATGTCTTGAGACACCCCGGGTTATAACTCCAACACTTTGAGAGCACACTAGCTTAGTGAGTAATGACCTAGCTTGTGGTGTGTGATAGTGATCATAGCAACTAGAATTGTTGGGTAGGTAGCTTGCAACTCTTGTAGAATTAGAGTAAAATTGCATTAAGCCATTTGTTATACTAATCAATTGCTCTAGTGCTTTGTAGAGATTTTAAATAGGCTATTCACCCCCTCTAGCCATATTAGAACCTTTCAGAGAAAAGACAGTCGTGCTGGGATATGTGGGAGTGATGTGGCCCCAATCCCTTGAACCAAACCAAAAAAAAGAACAACTCAATCCCTTCAACCAAACAACAAACTAGTCCGTCCTGCCTAGAAAAAAAGGTCAGAACCATTTCATCTTTTATAGTCCCCAAACCAAATACAACCAAAGTTAAGCAAGCTGAAGGTAATGTTTCTTGGCTCTTGAACGATGCTTGCTGGTGATCAACTACCATGTATTTCTACGCTGCTTTACAGATGGGTTTTTGTTTCTGCAGGAGCAAGGGAAAGGGAATTGTTGGATAATGTTGTGTTTGCTTCCAATAATTTTTAAAAGCAAGTAACAGTTTTTGGGAGTAATTTTCTTTACTGAACACTTGGAGATGCTCTTAGCGGACACGATTTTGGAGCATCCTATAAAAGGAGTGCAACAGTCGCAGGATGGAGTCTTGCAGAGACTAGAATAAAGATTCCATTTTCTAAAGAAAAAAACTGTGTTTCCCTGTCCTCGTTTCTTCATTCAAAAAAGAAGAAAAATAAAAGGCACCAGCAACAAAAAGGGCCACCCCCTGCAGAGACAAATTGTCTGTGTATGTGTTACAAATCTACATGATTCAGTTATTGAGGCAACCAGGCAGCAATGTACCTGTAGCAGGACGGTTGTAATCTCCTACAACTAAAAAGAATAAAGTGTAGATATCTTTTTGGTGCGACATTAGTTTTGGTTCGTTCGGTCTGCCTCTCCCCACCCCTGCGATACCGTGGCTAATAAAAAAATCCCCCCTCGTCTCTCTCGTGACCCGACGCCCGATGGCGCTCCCTCCCCCGACGGCCGACGGCGCTCCTCCCTCCCGGCTGCGGCGACGCTCCTCCCTCGCCGGTGGCGGTGGCACTCCTTCCTCGCCGGCGACGGCGGCGCTCCTCCCTCGCCGGTGGCGCTCCCTCTCACGGCGGCCTCCCATCTCCAGCGAAGCTTTGCGAGCTCGGCCTCGGCGCGACCAGATGCGCAGGCACGGCGGGCCCTGGTTGCATCGCGTGGGGGCTAGGACGGCCGCGTGGCCGAGGGGCCGGCGACGGCGGCCCCTGGCCTGTCCCACCGCGCCACCGGCACCTACGGCGACTCCCAGGACAGGCGCGACAAGGTGTAGGGCGATGGCGTGGCCACCCTGCAGCGGCACCGGCGGCGGCGACGCACAGCGGCACTCCTCCCTCTTCCCCACAGCAGCGGCGGCTCCCAAGGCCGAGCGTCCCTCCCTCTACCTCTCCCCCATAACTGTCGTGGAGGGCACGGTGCCCTTCGCCCACAGCGCTGGCGGCGGCCAGCCAGAGGAGCGGTGGAGACAGATCCGGCCACCACCGGCATCGACGGCGACGGATCTGGCTCCACCGACCTGCCATCGCCGTGCCGCCCCCGCCCGAAGCCGCCGACCGACCCGACACCGACGACCCAGCGGCGGCGTCGCGCTGGGCAAGCCCTAGCGGCGCCTCTCCTCTCCCCCACAGCGGCGGCGCGCCCCAGCTATGCTGCGAGACGCAGCAGCGCAGTCAGTACCCGGTGCGGCGGCCCATCCCTTCCACGCCTCCGCCCCCTGACCAGCTCCACGTCACGACGGAAGCCCACGTGTCCAAGCGGAAGGTGGCCGAAGCACTCGGCGATTTGGTTCCCGTCTGGCCGTCTGCCTTGAGTCCATCCGGCCTCCTTCCTGGCCGTCTGCTTCATCTCACCCGTCACCGGTCACCGGTCACCATAGCGCCTAGGATGGACAACAACAACGATCCTGCTGCAGCACGGAAGCCATACACAAGGTACGTCAAATTAAGCATCCAACTATGAATTTGATTGTTCTTGCTGTTATAATCCGGCAATTAGATGATGTTAATTATTACTGGAATCCTCCAATGATTGATTTCATCTTTTACTGATACTTATTTACAATTAATTGTTAATAAAAAAAGTTCACCTCTAATCTATATCTAATATTAAAGAGTTTAATTTCTTTCGGCAAATTTTGATCATCTTACTGTCTCTCAGTCCATATGTTTAATTTGAAATCATATTAGAACAAATGGCACAAGATGTGTAAATTTGTCTACTTATTAATTTCCTAATTGATCTTAGGTATGGCTGAACATATTTATAAGTTCATCTTCTCGATTTTCTTCTGTCACTTTTGAGTATTTCAGCCATGCGGGAGGATTTTCTTCTGTCACTCTTCAGTATTTCAGCCATGCGGGGTAGCAGTACCAAACAAGGAGCAATGAGTAGAGGGCACCAGTCCATCATGGTTCAATGGGATTGAAGTTAGTGCTCATATGCAGGCATGCTCATGAATCTTCCATAGGAGTAATCACTCCCTATCGTCAGGAAGTTGCGAAGATATACTCATATGCCATGACCAAATACTTCTACCTTCCTAAAAGATGGCTTATGCATAAATGTCCAGAGCTCTTTTAATTTAGCCTTTCTGCATGCAATTTCTCTCGGCACTGATGCGGTGAGTCTGCTTACCTTATACCTATTATTATTTATGTCCATAGTTCTTTAGTCTTCCTTCTTGCAATTTCTCCTGAAGCTTTCTCAATGAACTGTTCCGTCAGTTTATCCCGCTCCACATAATTATTTACTCCAGTTTAGTACCAAATCTTTATATTGCTATTGCTCTCTGGAATATTTCACAGTTGCTCCACATAATTATTTACTCCAGTTTAGTACCAAATCTTTATCTAAACATTGTTCACATTTAGTGCCAAATAGCAATACTAATTCACCCATTTTGTTGATAATGATTGCTATAGGTTCGGAGGTCATTATGTCCCAGTGCATTCTTTCAATTTTTAAAACTTGATTAGACCTTGATTTTGGTAAGCATCCTACAAAATGCTCTGAGTTCAGGATCACTTATGTAAAACATATATGTGAGGGATATTGCAACTTCTCCATTCATGTGATGTCTGGGAAATTTTTTTTGCTTAAAATATTCCCCTCATTTTGCAGCAAAAGCATCCTTTGCATTGTTTGGGACGGTTACTGAAAGACCAACAAAGTTGTAGGTGCTTATCTAGAGATCTTGTATCTTGATAATTTTTATTTACGTGGCCACATGCTTGCACCTCTGCTAATGTTACTGTGGTTCTAGTTTTCTACTGTGTTTCTTGTCATGTAAAAAATACTGTGGACTTGGGCTCCTGTAGAAATATGACTGTTTGTTGTGTCTGGATGTTTCCGACTTGTGTTGATAAGAGGATAATTGATATTAGTAATGGATATTCCATGTGTTTGTGTGTTTTTTCTTTTCTCGCCTATCTAATAAGTACAGCTCTCAGATTGCATTCATTTAAAACATGTTAGAAATCCAGACTTTTATGAGGATTATTATTTGTCCAATTATACACAAATTTGTTCAGTACCATTTCAGCAAACTACATGGATTGATTAACATATTAGTTTCCAAGCAAGTGTAGTCAATATACTTTCGCTTATTTAGGTTCATCTACCCCCACCCTATAATACACCAGTAAGAATAAATCTACAGCTTATGCTTGTGACTGCAAAATGGCAAATGCATCTTTTAATTACTTATAAAATTAATCTTGCAACTTTAATTAGTCAAGTCTGGTAGTTGTGGGCTTGAGGCTATCCACCTGAATCGCTAATCGGACCTATTTTCCTGTCGATTTACGCAGGATTGGCATTATACTCCACGGTCGGCCTTGCCGGTGCCTGGCCCGCGTGGTGATGATGCATCGCATCTTCCTCTCCCAGGCGGTGGTCGTTCAGCGCGGGCGGCCGCGCAGGCCGTATCCCGCCATCGGAACAGGAAGCCCTGCGCGTTCGGCGCAATAGGCGATGGCACGACTCGGCGTCGCCGGCCTCTCCACAACTCCGCCTCGGCTCTCTGCGACTCCCGAGCCGGCGACTCCGAATGCCTCCATCTCCAGTTCCCCATCTAGCTTCAGTGCTCGATTGCTCTGCTCCGACTTCGATTTGATTTCTTCTTTCAGAGGTAATTCAGTACCTTTATTTCTGTATAAGAGATTTTCCCCCTACTGATTTGGTTCATTGGATGTAAGATGGACTGGATTTGGGAGTTCTGGACAGGAGAAACACATAACCTTGCCTCTTAGGGTGACCGTCGTGTTCTCCTTCGCCTCTCCAAATACCTCCGCCTACACATCCGGAGACTACGTGCAGAAGCTTTAGATCGCAGGGACCTCATGATCGGGTGAGTTCGCTTTGGTCTGTACAATGATATATGTCCGTGCTATTGGAAGCAACAGCTCTATATGGATCTTGGTCACGTGTTATTGGAACTAGTTTCACATCAAGTCGCTACAGAGTACAGACAAGGTGGAAGATAAGATGAGCTACCTCCTTTCATGACCTACACATTTTTCGATGAGGTTGTCTGTACATACGTTTTTTTTTTTAAAACTGATGTTGATTTGCATCAAAATCTGACCTCGGTATATTTCTGCACCACGCAGGAATTTTATCTCCGGATGCAGTTTGCACAACCATAACAATTCAAGGCACTTTGTTCGTTGCATCCATAACAATTCAAGGTATTCTGTTCGCCTTTCTCCCCTTGCTTTCTATTATACATGTATCGTTTCTTATAATATTTCTATTGGGCCTCTTGTTTCCTCTCTCTTCTCCGAGATCATTTACGGTGATTGTTCGTTCATTAACTTCTTTCCGGTGTTCCTGTGTTCTGGAAGAAGCTTGTGAGTGTATTAGCTTTATTTACTTTTCCAATAGTTTCGTCCTAGATATAGGCACCCTGGTGGATTCACATGTTAGTCAAGATATTGAGTTTGATTTATACATGTTACCTATGCTGGCATTCAGAATGGTGTCCCTACATAATTGTTGAAATCCATTTATTTATGTTTACTACACTCTACGATGGAATTGTCGGATTCATGATTCAGAGTCTTTGCTGGGAACAAGCAGTACCTGTCATTATCATGTTCAGTGGGATGTGAACACATTTGCCGCTGATAGTGGTTAAAAATTCAAGCAATTTTTGTTTGCAAGTTGCAGGTAATTTTCAGCGGCTGTGATCCTCTTAATTCCTTTTGAACTGTCTTTGAGTGTGGCTGCAATTACTTGGCTAGAGATCAATTTTAAATTTATATTTCTTCAGGAACTGTGCATTCATTGTTGCTACCTGAATGGCAATTAATATGGTGACTTAAATTTTCTGGCACAAACAATGGCCCACCTTCATGGAAACTTTATTTTTTACTAACATTCTCCTTTCAACTTGTAATTTGAACTGCAATTTTTTTCCTGTGGTTGGTGGTTGCAGTGATGGCTTGGCAACAGGAAGGATAGTCTATGTCACATTCAAAGACATATGCACTTATATGGAAGGAATATACATTTTTTTGATAAAGGTGGTTATTCACTCTGGCCTTGTTCTAATTGGAGTTTGACACAAAATCTGAGTTCTAATCCACCCTATTATAGACAACTGTGATATATGGCAATAGAAAAAATTGTCAGTTCAATATGAATGAACTACATCTCATCAAAGAAATTTAATTTCATTTTTTTGAGCAGAGATGGCATGATGTGCCTTCCTCCGAGGGCCCCTCAGCCATGTCGATGATCTTTGGCATCTACTTTTAGGTGTGGACCGTCATGAGGAGGAGCTCTGGATTGATAGTTGGTTGGATGGCATGATGCACCTTCAGATGCAGATAGGTTTGGAGACCTATCATCATCTCAGGCAAGCCTTCACTTCTAACAACCTATGTTGCATATGTCTATATGTTATTAGTATTGTATTATATATGTTGTCAGCAACAAGGGTGTTGTTCTCCCCTAATACTTGTATCAAAAGAGGTTTATCAAACAACATAAGGTTCTGTTAAAAAAAACTAATGTAGCACACTTTTTTTATGATGCCTAAAATAAGATGGGCATTATGTAGATATGTGTCGATATATAAAATCGTAAGCTCTTCTGTTAGAATATGATAATGTACCATATATATTTTTTCTTCGTTTTCTTGATCCAACATTTGGTCAATTTAGTCAAAATAATTTTAGAGGTTAGTATATATATATATATATTCAATTATATATGTAGTTGTATGGTAATTAGTGGAGTTGTAATGTAATTATCCATAAAAGAAACCATTGGAACCTAATTTAAGGGAGTACTAGTTTGTGATATCTTTCGGTGGTTCTAATTTGCACACCCGGATGTTGCCGTAGCGTTAGCACGGGCACGCTACTATATAAATAAATATACAGCGTACTATAGACTGGTCAAACCGATTACACATTGATTACAGGTTAATCTTAATTATTGATTGATCATGCCATTCTCCTTGATTGAATATTGCCTGCCATGTGATAGAGGAATCACGGCAAAATAGGAAGTAGAAAATTATTGTGTTATCCATATACACATTGCATGTTTGCATGCATCAGCATACATGGCAACGAGCAAAAGGAAAGAGAATTAA